TATAAATCATTCCATGCTCACCCCAAACTTAATTTATTTTTACACCATTTTAATTACATTTGTTTTATTTATTTAGAGTATGTGTGTGTGTGCACACACATGTACCAGGGTGCATGTGTAGAGGCTGGATTCTCTCCTTCCATTATTTGGTATCCTGGGATTGAACTCAGGTTGTCAGGCTTAGTGGCAATGTCTTTCCTAGCTGAGTCACCTCACTGGTCCTCTGCTGAGTCATCTCATTGGTTCTCCTTTGCCTTTTCTAGATTGAGAGCATACCTGAGAGTTGACTTGAGAAACTCAGTTTGATGATGTTCTGCGTCACATGCCAGGCTCTGTTGTGGGCTCTGGAACTCAGCTGTGAAAACACAGGAAACGCCTTGTTCTGGAAGCTCAGACTCCAGTTGGAGAATCAGGCAACAGATGGAGAGAAAGAAATAGGCATACACATCTGTTGATGGTAAGTGTTACCAGAAACTGAAGCAAGACAAGAGAGGTCCCCTTGGGGCCAGGGAAACAGACCAGGAAGTGACTTCACAAGAGGAGATCAGGACAGGCCTTGGTCAGGAAGCATATATCTGATATTGTTCATTCGTTTATTTTGAGACAAGATCTCATATAACCCATACTGGCCTCAAGCTCATGGTGTAGCAAAGGAGAACCTTGAACTTCTGATCCTCCTGCCTCCACCTCCCAGTGCTAGGATTACATGTGCGCACCGCCAGACTTGGTTTATGTGGTGGTGCCAATCAACTCCAGGGCTTCATGCGTGCTAGGCAAGAATTCCACCCACGAGCTACAAACCCAGCCTAGACATCTGCTATTCCTAGAATTCCTCTTCTCTCTCTCTCTCTCTCTCTCTCTCTCTCTCTCTCTCTCTCTTTCTCTCTCTTTCTTTCTTTCTAAATATTTATTTTATGTACACTGTAGCTGTCTTCAGACACCCCAGAAGAGGGCATTGGATCCCATTACAAGTAGTTGTGAGTCACCATGTGGTTGCTGGGAATTGAACTCGGGACCTCTGGAAGAGCAGTCAGTGCTCTTAACCACTGAACAAGTTCTCCAGCTCTCTCTCTCTCTTGTGCGCTCTCTCTCTCTCTCTCCCTCCCTCCCTCCTTTCCTTCTCTACTTCCTTCCTTTTTTCCTCTCTTTTCTCCCTTGGTGTGCTGGGAATCAAGTCCAAGGTTTCAAGCAGACAAGCAGGCTAATCATCTATTCTGCTACTGAGTTACACCCCAGCCCTCACAGCTGCCTCCTCCTCCTCCTCCTCCTCCTCCTCCTCCTCCTCCTCCTCCTCCTCCTCTTCTTCTTCTTCTTCTTCTTTGGTTTGGTTTTTCAAGACAGGGTTTCTCTGTGTAGCCCTGACTGTTCTGGGACTCATTTTGTATACCAGGCTGGCCTCGAACAAACTCAGCAATCCGCCTGACTCTGCCTCCCAAGTGCTGGGATTAAAGGCGTGCGCCACCACTGCCCGGCACAGCTGCCACTTCTAAAAGAATTTGAAAGTTCTCAAAGGACAACATGAACTGGAACCCAGGCAGGAGATGACGGTAAGGAAGATTTAAGAACTGAGTGGAGCCGAGAGACAGGAAGGCCTGTGTGAGCAGAGAGAAAGGGTTTTCTGCGATGAATTGGTATCATCTGAGAAGGAGGTCCAGGCTGGCTCAGCCAGGAAACTCTGTGAAGGGAACAGACATGCAATGTGGGGACACCTCTGTCCATACTTACAATTTTGTTATTGGGTTACCACATACCTTTTTTGTATGAACTTTGACTTTTTAAAACTTGGTCTTCTTCTGTATGGTTACTGAACTGCTTGGTGCTCCCTTGGTCCTGTGAAGCAGTGCTTGTTCAGGCCTGGTCAGAGTCCCTGGAGGAAGGACTGGCTGTCTTTAGACTTGACTCTGTGGTCAGTACAAAGACCATTGAAGGATCTGGGGCAAGCAAATGTTATAAGCAGAACACCATTTGGGGATGGTTGTCATAGAGGCAGTGGAGAGGTGGGAAGAGGGCAGAGAGCAAAGGGCAGTCAGGAAATACACTGAGCAGGCTGAGCCTGAAGCACAGGGCCAGCAGCGGGTGCAGAAGGAAGCTGGCTACCCTCTCCCTTCCTCGGGTCTCTGCCTGCCCTACTCCATGCAGAACTCAGCATTTCCCACAGCTACACAGACTCAGTAACCGCTGGGCTTCTGCCTCCTTCTGTTTTTACTGTGACTAATTTGTGAAAAACAGGAAGTGCTACTGTGCCAGTGGGCATTATTAGTGGCTAAGAAATGAACTTTTGAAAATGGCAAACCCTGGGTCCCTTGCACATAAGCTCACTTGTACAAACACATACCCTCCCGTCGGGTGGACCCTGTTCCAGCAGGAACCACTATCTCTTTGACTCTGACACCAGAAGACACTCAAGAGCTGCTGTGTTCCCAAGACTGGGGACAGGCTGCTTAGCCTTTCGACAAGTCTCAAAGGAAAGTGAGCCTAGCATAGAGGAGAGAGCAGCTGGCAGGTGCCACCAGGCACTGGAAAAGCAAGAAGGTTTACAGAGTGGATACAGGAAGCCCTGCCCTGCTCTCTGCTTTGGCCCTAGGGTTGTGCTGTCACTGAGGGCATTGACTGCTGTTTGGAAAAGCCCTGAGACAGAGGAAGGTCAGAGTATATAGTGGGCATCAGGCTGAGATTGGTGGCGATGGTGGTATGTGTATGGTGTTCATATAGTAGAAGGAAAGCTCTCTGGTATCTCTTCTTACAAAGGTACTAACATCATCACAGAAGAACCCCACCCTCAGGAGCCCATCTAGCCCTAAGTACTTCATCAAATTCCATTGCATGTAAGGTTAGTGTCTCAACATAGGAATTTGGAGGAAAATAAAGACATGGTTTCTAGAAGCTTCCTGTCTAATTAGGTTGAGAAACACCTTCGAGGGGGAGGAAAGAAGGTCTTGAATTCTTATTCCTACCTCCCATTGAGCCCTTCTAATCACCTAACCTTTAAATAATGACCATGCAATTGTTACCAGATTTCAATGCTATTCAATTTTTTTTTTTTTTGCAAAGAGACTTCTAGGCAAGCTTGATTGTACCTCTACATTCCTCTGATGTAGACAATTACTCTCCTTACAGACTGTATGCTGAAACTGAGTGTTGAGCTGTTTCTCCCCCTTAGAACTTTTGCCTACATCCCATCCACTAGAGAATCCAACTGTAAATGTTTGGCATTCTTTGCATCTCTGGTCAACCACACAGTCTTCCTTTCTGGAGTCCCGATTCTCATCTGTAAGCCTCTAGAAACATGGAAAGAGCATGCTTCAGACCTTGGATAGTTATTTGCCTTTTGCAAACCATCTTCTCCTGAGGGGTACAGGGTAGGAGTGTCTTTAAAATTTAGATATCTAATAAGACATTTTATGATGACAGCTTAACTGCAGGATCTACATTCACAGTGTTTTGCAACCTTTGCCACTGTACCCATTTCCAGAACCTTTTTTTTTATTCCATTCTGAAGTCTGTACCCATTAAACAGTAACTCTGAAATTTCCTCATCCACACCTTGCTATCTATTGGTTTACTTTTTTGTCCCGATGACTTTGGTTGATCTAGGTATCTTATTACAGGTAGAATTACAGACTCCTTCTCAGTGGTGGTTTGAATATGCTTCGTGGCACTATTTGGAGGTGTGGCCTTGTTGGAGGGGTGTGGCATTGTTGGAGTAGGTATGTCACTGTGGCCCTGGCTTTAAGACTCTCGTCATAGCTGCCTGGAAACCAGTCTTCTCTTAGCAGCCTTCAGATGAAGATGTAGAATTATCAGCTCCTCCTGCACTGTGCCTCCCTGTACCTATGCTCCTGCCTTGATGATAATGGACTGAACCTGTAAGGCAGTCCCAGTTAAATGTTGTCCTTTATTTGAGTTGTCTTGGTCATGGTATCTATGCACAGCAGTAAACCCTTAAGACATTTTCCTTATTTCCTCAGCATAAATCTCTTTATTCAGGTTGCTATAACAAAATACCACAAGCTGGATGGCTTGTGAACAGCAGAAATTTATCTCTCACAAGTCTAGAGACTGGGAAGGCTAAGATCAAGGTACCAGCTGATTCAGTATCCTGTGGGAATCTGGGGCTTCTTTGGGCAGGGATGAGGCTACAGATGGTGCCTTCTCACTGTCTTAATATAACAAAGGGTGAGGCACACCTATGCCAATTCTTCCAGGAGGGGAAGAAGTTAACCAGCTGGAGAAAAAGAGCTGGAAAAGTGACACAGGAAGAGGCATGCCAAGCCCGACCCCAAAAGGACTTGTAATATGCTTACGTGAGTGTTTTGTGCTGGGGTGGGGTATGAGGCCAGGAGAGAGAGGGAAGGTGACACCGCTGGAGCAGGCTGGCACCGGCTGCTTTAGAACCTTGTATGGTTGGGATTAGTGCTGGGTCTGAAGGGAAGTCCGGAAAGCTTTGAAGCAAGAGAAAGCAGAACCTGCCCTCCCTCACAGGAGGCATCCAGACCAAGAAAACAAATCACAGGCCTGCCAGTGTCTTTCAAGCGTATTCTGAGCGCGGTGTTTCTATTATCTCAGTTAAGCCTCTGATGAGTACTAGGGACATTGAATACTGAAGAGCAACCTACCTAGGCTTCGCACTCACCTCTGCCTAACTCAGCACAGCCCCAGGGCCAGCAGCCTTTGATTCACAGGAGCCTGACACACAGGAGCCTGTGTGAGTTCCTAGGTCTGTGACATTAGAATTTCTGGGACTGCCACCCCCTACTGCTGCAGGTTTTCCATTCGTGTAGGTAATGGTGATCATGCCTTTGCATCGTGCTTCCTGGCTGCAAGAAACTCCCGCAAGGGGAACTAGCCTTAGAGAGTTCTTCAGCCACCAGCAGCTCTGTGGCTTTAAGAACCAGGGCTGGCATCCTGCCATGGAACTCACCACCCCAGTACAAGCCTGGAGAGCATTGGCTGCAGGATAGTGGCGCTGTAGCAGTCAGTGGTGCCTGGGGCTGGCCCAGGCATGTAGATCAGAGCCGGGGCTGGGCAGAACAAGCCAGCCGGTGGCAGCCCCAGAAGCCCCTGTGAGCTGAAGAAAAGGACCTTTATGCTTTTCAGAAAGAAGCTCACTCTGCAAGGCTGAGGAAACAAAGGGAAGAATTGTGTGACACGTTAGTCCAGACATCTCAAACCAACAGTAAGTCAGCAGGGAACAAGGCATAGTTCTCTGCACATGGTAACATCCACACACCCGACTCTACCCTACCCCAGGAGCCCAAGGGTTTGGGGAAGCTGCTCCAGGGGGGCGATAGGCCAAAATCAATTAATAGGCTCTCTTCTGGAATCCATCTGGGCCTCCCCTTGAAAGTCAAATCTGTGCATATGACACTGGGGACCATGAATTGTAGGAATGCTTCTCCACCCTCCTGGGGTGACCTTTCAAGGCATCTTCCTGCCCTTGAGAACCCCAAGATCACATGAGAGCAAAGAAGGGGGAACTGAAATCATGGGCTTTGAGTGGCTGTCGAGTTTGGGCCACAACCTGCTAGGGAGGAAAGAATAAAGCTAGTGACAGAGACTTCATGTGTGGCACAAGGGAAGGACAGTCCAAGCCAATGCAGGCCGAGGGTTGTTGACCAGATAACCACAGGGCTCAAGGTGCCTTCCTCTGCCTTTGAGGAATGATTGATGCGGGTGAGGCAAACTCACATTGAGAGCCAGCTTGCTTCAGTCCCCACCTGAGGAGCCAAGGTTCTGCACAGGTGACCGTGCAGAAGGCAGAGCCCTGCGGCTCTGGCAAGTTTCTTTCCTATCTGTGTGATTAGCCTAGGGGTTCATTAACAGCCATCTACCTGACTTCGTGAGCATGTGTGTGTGCTAGGAAGGGCAACAAGTGGAGACGATGCTGGCAGGAAGCAGCGCGTCGGCATTGTTTGGTCCAGAAGGGAGGGAAGGAATGCCGTAGTACCTTCAAAGTAGCTACTCGCTGTCAAAGGAAGGGGAATGAAAGCCAGGAGCAAGAAGCAGAAGGAAAGCAGCCTCCACTAAACAGATAGGGGGAAACTGAAGCAGAAAGACAGGAAGGATAGAATTAGCTTGTACATACTTAGGATGAAGAATTTTTGTGTTAGCTTTCTATTGTTATGACAAAACCCTTGACATGAGCAACTTTAAGGAAGAAAAGTTTATTTGGGCTTATGATTTCAAAGGTTCCAGCCATCCAGTCCATAGGCCTTTGTTTGACCTGGCCATTTTCAGGATCTTTCCAACATGGCCGAAGCAGGTGGGAGAGGAAAGCAGCTCAACTCATAGCAGCCGGGAAAGCAAAGCGAGGAAGGGGCTGAGATGAAATAGCCCATCCCTAGCATACGCCCAAGTACCAACTTCCTCCAAAGAGGCCAACTTTCTGTGGTTTCCACTACCTCCCAAAGCCCATTGATGAGGTCCAAGCGCATATGATGTAATCCCCTCCCACAGGCCTCACCCCTGAACACTGCCCACTGGGAACCAAGCCTACAATAACAGTTCATGGCATAACAACCTTAAAGAATCTACCTGTCATGGGTCCTTGACCTGGCGTGATGTGCACATGTGGGCAAATTAGAAACCTTGAGGAATTTCATGGGGATATCTGAAAGATCTGTCACATAGGACCCCTGTGTCAACAGCCCGGCTGAATTCCCCAGCTCACTTGAATTGGGGACTTTTGAATTCCTTGTGCCACGCCTGTGTCTGTACTTGGTGATTTCCCATGGGTTTGGCTGATTGCTGCTGTTCCTTCCTGGTCTTTCTAATAAGGATTCTTTTCCATTGAGAATTTCTGTGGTTTTGCATTTTGCCCTGCTGCTAGGGTGTGGGAACACCACTTGGGCAGATAAAACATGGAGACTGCATTTACCCTACACCACTATTGGGTGCTAGGCTTGAGGGAAGCTCCGATATACTGCTCAGGGGGTGGGAAAACACTCCCTAAGATGTGGGAGTCCAAAGCTGGGGTTCCCTGACTTCCAGGCATCCAGTCGCCACTGGAAACCCTGCAGAGGAGTCTGGAATGGGGGGCAGGGTACAGACCTGTGATGAGGAGCCTGAGCTTGGGAATCCTAAATTCCTAGACAGTCAGAAGCTGCTAGGTTGAGTTGGGAACAGAGTTGGCCCCTCGGGGTGAGGAGCCCAGGACCAGGGAAATTTGAACTCCACTCCAGCTTAGTTCAGCGGTGGTGAGTCCTGAGCTTATCAGTGATTGTCTAGGAGCACAGAGGGACCTTCTGCGGGAGACTTAGATGGCCTTAGACAGTAGATCAAGGCCTCTCCATGCTCTCCATTATGGTTGTTGATGAAAGAGACAGTCCTTGGTTCCAAAATGTTTATTGATTGTTTCGTCATGGAAAATGAGTGCATGCCACCTTCTCAGGGTAGACCAGAGATTAAATACCTTTTGCAGGAAGGAATGTTCAGAAAGGGAAGCTTATTGGCTAAACCCTCAAGGCCTCTAGATACCTCAGTTAGCGTGGAAAACCCTGTTCTGATCTTTGTGACCTATATAGGAAGTGTGGTCATGTGACAGGGGCCTGGTTGGAGGGAGGCAAAGCTCCTATTTAACCCGCTGGGTTCCTGGGCTTCCAACCTGCTCAACCTTACCAAGTTTCCTGGCATGTCCATTGCCCCATAGACCTCTGTGCGCATGTGTGCGTGTACGTGTGCATGTGTGTATGAGTGTGGTGTGCACATGCGAGCCCACACAAGGTACACAGGACTGAAGTCTCCCAGTTAATTTCAATGAAATCTCCCTTCTTCAGTAAAGGATGGCAGATGTAGAAGTCCAAATGTACCCTTCTCCCTGACAGATTTTACAGGCTTCTTAGGATATCTGCCAAATTGCTAGATGGTATTTGCAATTTAAAAAAAAATAGAGTGCATTTTTGTTTTTTATTTTTTAAGGATTTTCCAGCCTGCCTTAAAGCGGGTCATCACTTGTACCTCATTTTATAGCTTTCAAAGCTTTCTTCAACATTCATAAATCTCTCTCATCCTTCCGGGAGGCCGGTGGCTTGGTTCCTCTCAGATGCTCTCTTGAAGGAAACGGACTTGTGGAGACACTAAGTGGCTTGCAGCTCTGAGGTTACCATTCAGGCTCAGGTCGCTGAAAAATCGAACCGTGTCTTCTTAAGTTTTTTTTTTTTATTTAAATCATTGTATGTGTGCACACAGGGGACAACTTTGTGGAGTTGGTCTCTTCTTCCACCTTTGTGCATATTCTGGGATTGAACCAAGTTGCCAGGCTTGCTTGGTGAATGACTTTACCTGCAGAACAGTCTTGCTGACTCTGAACCGTGTCTTTCTGACCACGAACTGTACAAGAGATCTCTAAAACACAGTGAATGAAGATAGGATCTCATTCCAGAATACACGGTTAGGCTGTCCGGTAATAGCGTGTCATCTGTTAGAGGCTGTCCGGTAATAGCGTGTCATCAGTTAGAGGACGGTATCTCCTTTTCTGCAAAATGGAACCAAAGGCCTCATCTGGGAGGCAGATGTGGATGAAATGAGATGCCACGTGTAAAGTGTTTAAAGCAACTCCTGGCATGTGGTAAGCTTTCAGTAAATACTCTCATTTTATCGGTACTTTGAAGAAAGACGTTATTAGCCAGGCACCGGAGAAGCTGAAACTAAAGGTTCTTAAACTGTGTTTTCTCAGAGTTTTCTGGAACATGATTGCTTTCACCTAACCGCTAGGAGGTAGGAGGCCAGTGCAGGGGAGAGTAACTGCTCTGTTCCACAGGATCATCCTGGAGTACATGCTTCCTCCACTTCCCCCATTCTCGCTCCCTATTCTTCTCAACCTTCCCTTGCTCTTTCCCCCCTTCTGTTCCTGCCTGTAGGAAGACAGGGAGGGGCCAGATGTGGACAGCCTCCTGAGTGACATAATTCAGCAGGTAGACTGCTCTTTCACTCGCATCCCATTGGCCAGCACCTGGGCACACATCACCACAGGAGAATCTGGGAAGTGTAGACTCCAGCTGTGCCAATTAAAGATGCCTGAATAAATCTTAGCTTAGGGGTTCTCCTTCTAAAAGAAAGAGGAGAGTGGAAATTGAGATCAGTTGGTGGTCTCTGCTCCATGTCCCCATAGATGTGTCCCTTGGACTTGAATATCTTATCTCACCCGGGCTCTGCTTCTTGCCTGTTCCACCCTCAGGTTCTTCTTTAGCAAACCTTGGTCTAGCTCTTGGCTGCAGTATTTGAAGTGTTTGAACATCTCTAGCAGTGATGAGATTAGCCCCAATCGGCTGGCCAGACTGCCCATGGTTGTCCAGCCTGTGTCTTCTGTACACAGATACCCCAGGAACAGTGTCCCTGGGCTCTGTTTGAATTCTACTTGTTTTTCTGCATCTTTGGACAATTTCCCTAGAGAGTCACCGTCCCTTGTGATCTTGGGTCTTTGGTGACTGATGAAGAATGGATATCCTTCCGTTGCCTGGGGGATCCATCTTGGTCTCTGTTGTGGAGGGGACCTCCTCTCCCATCTTAGCAGGAATTCTCTACAAGGTTCAACAAGCTAGGTAGGCACTCTGGTTATATAAGTGCCTCAAAATGCATTATGGGTAACAGCGTGGACTTGTAATGCTGTTGAGAGGTGATGGAAGCTTGAGGAGGTGGGGCCTGATGGGAGGCAGTTAGATCTCTGAAGGCATTCCTTTAAACAGAGTATTTGGGCCTTATCGCTCCTCTCTCTCTCTCTCTCTCTCTCTCTCTCTCTCTCTCTCTCTCTCTCTCTCTCTCTGCGTGTGTGTGTGTCTGTCTGTCTCTCTCTCTCTGTCTCTCTCTCTCTGACTCTCTCTCTCTCCCTCTCTCTCTCTCCCTCTCTCTCTCTCTCTCTCTCTGTGTGTGTCTGTCTGTCTGTCTGTCTCTCTGTCTGTCTCTCTCTCTGTCTCTCTCCGTCTCTGTCTCTCTCTCTGTCTCTCTCTGTCTCTGTCTCTCTCTCTTTCTCTGATTCCCATCAGCTATGAGGTGAGTGCTTCCTCTGTCATGAGCCCTCTGGCATGATTTTCTGCCTCTAACCAGGCCCAAAAGACCCCTCTGAAACACTTGAAACTGAGCCAAAATAAACCTTTCCTCATTATAAATTAATTTATCTCAGATATTTGTTACAGTAACAGAAAGCTCACGCATACCGGCTCACTTGTCTGTTGATGGGAC